ATGTATCACCCACGTTCGCCGCGTGTACCGTGTACGTCTCGACGCGCGACACCGACGTGGACCGACGTCGCCGGCGTTCGGTAAGACGCGCGCGGAGGCGCACGGAGCCGCGGCCTCGTGCTATTCCCCGGCGCTTATGGGGTTAGGAACGAACACGCTGACTCGGCGCTTTCGGCGATCCAGTGGATCCACCACCGGCACGCGCGGTTCACGCACCTCCGCTCGGAGCAACGCGGAGACGAGGCTGGTCTCAAGTCCGCGGAAGATCCTGGAAGATCCTCGAAGATCCTCGAATGGCACTTGGGGGGACGTGTACCATACGCGCAACCACGCGCAACCCCCCCGGCTCGGTTTCGTCACAGTATCTATCCGGTATTCTCTCGTCCGAGGGAGAGCTTCGCTTGCTCGCGTTAATTTCGCGATAGCACTGATCGACAAGACCGCGAAATAATTCCCGCAACACACCCGCGTGCCTACCAGTACCGGCGTGGCATCGCGTTACCGCGGATTACGTAAACGCGGCGCATTTTCTGCGGAGCTCTTTCCACGGGAACGCGTGATACATGTGGCCAAAGCTGGTGAGGCCTCTGAGAGCACGAGTCGCGGGCCGACCGGCTTCCGGTCTGATCGATCACGGTACGCCAGGTGGCGCGCGTTCCTTCCGCGGCGGCCATCTGCCGCGCGCTTTTTCTAATTCAAGACTCTCTGTAAAGGTGCTTTTTCACGCTGACGCTCGTTTTTAACGTCAAAACAGGTCACTGTTGATTTTCGTCAAATTTTATCATGTCATCTGTTTTGACGCTAAAAATTAACGTCGAGCGTCAGCATGAAAAAATACCTCAACAAGATCTGGTTAAAGCTGCGTTCGGAAACATCACCCAAGTGCCCCCGCGCGTATCGTATTATCTTTGATGTTCGCTCAGTGTTAAACAAGGATAAGATGATACACGGAGACACTCGGGTGATGTTTTCGAACGCAGCCTACGAGTAGTTTTTGTTAAAACTAGAGTGAGAAAGAAGGATATACGTTAGATTGTCTTTTTCACAAATGAACTTCTTGCACAGTTTATTTTTGTCTTTTTTCTCTCCGAAAAGAAAAAGAAAAACCGTGAACCACGCAAAAAGTTCCATTGAAAGAACAGACCTATTGTCTCTTTTTATATAAGCTATCTCGTTCTAACTTATACTGTCTTATTCTAACTTAGTGAAGTTGACAAAAACATCGAGTCAAAAGTTTGTCATCTGTTGGCCAAATTTCATTATAGTGTCTAATAATATGCAGAAAAGCGACCGATTGCTAGCCAATTGAACCCTTCGCATTTCCGGAAAAGCGGAAATTCACTAACTATGATTTCGTAAACTTCATTAAGCAAGAAAGCTGGACAAGAATTCGAACATCCTATAAATTATTTGTATGATGCGAAATTAGACGAAAAAGAAAAAGTTCTAGTTTCATTGGGATTACTTTTCATACACTCTAATAGCGTTTTCGGCCCGGCCAGATTCGCACCAACCTGGGTTAGATTAATGGCGTTTTGTGCTCTCCTATTGGTAGAGCGGGTGACGTCAACCAATAGGAAAGATTAATCCAACCAAGGTTGGTGCAAACCCGATCGGGCCGAAAACGCTATAAGATTTTTATCTCACACACACACATACATACATACATATATACATAAATATATACACATATGATTTATTGTTGCATATACAATTATATTACATTATCATACAAAATATATCAAGTATATCGCATTTTTTTCATGAACAACTCGTCACTATGTAATTGTACAACTATATAATACTATTCGAGTATCAGTGATTCACAAACAGCAATAAAAATACAGTAAAAATGTGTCTAAATTTTATGTACATTATATAAATATAATGTATAAACTATCCAATTTTAATTCGAGCAGGCAAAAGTTATTCGATTTTGAAAGAATTATCATAAAATACTAATTTCAATTTGATTTTATATGACATCTTCAAGATTATGCAAATCACTTTTCTTAAAACAAAACAACATCAATTTTTATAATTAATGAAGTAATTTTCCATAATATTCTACACATAAGAATATCAGAAAAAAATTTATATAGTTTACAAAATATTTGACATATTTTTAATTTTGATATATTGCTCTTTTTTATAAAATATTTATTTTTATACACAGATATTATCATTATATTTCTATGTGTAGAACATTAAGGAAATAACATTACAAAAATTTATATTGTATCATTTAAATAAATAAAAAAGTATATAATCTTGATAATATATCAGCCAATATATATATATATGTGTGTGTCAAAATCTTCCTATTTATTGTGTTATATGTATTATTGTTTTATTATTGTAGGAACATTTTATTGGCAACTAGCTCATTCTATGTAATAATAACATTAAATACTAAATTGACTGAACAATTGTACTCTTTTTGTACAAAGATAATTATCATGATTTAAAAATAGATCACACGTGCGCATACAGAAATCCTCAAGCGTAGAGAAGTCTAGTTAATCACAAACTCAGAAAATATTTCGTTATCTAATAAAATTTAAGAGTCTCGAAATAATGTAAAATTGTAATAAAATTTGCAAATATTGCACATCAACTAACCTCTGTAGGATATTTTTTTATAGATCGCTGGATGCATTCCGCTATTGTTGATCTAAAATGAAATACACTTGCTAATTTTCTGTATTAGATAAAAAAAGATAAGGACACAAAAAATTATAACAGATTTTAAAATACCTAAAGACTTTCTGATGAAGAAGATAAGCACTGACATGTCCAGCATCGATATAACGAATTTCAGCTCCCGGCCATATAGTTTCCAAACTCATACAATGATCTCGTGGTACATAAGCATCGTCCTTGGCACAGACAGCAATGATTAATTCAGTGTCAACGGGTATCTCAAAATTCTTCAAATGTGTGCACTCGTCCATAATACCGCGCATAAATTGCAATGCTTCATGTTCGCGCCATTTGTTGTCTGAAAACAGCGGATGTTTCGGCACTGGTAATAAGCAAACTCCTGTCATAGAAAAAACAACGGTTGTATAAAACCATGCTTACATGCTCAAGGATCGTCAAACGCAAGGCTAACGTATAACGAACATATCTGAATATACATATTTAAACTAGTTTAATTTCATCATAAGAAAATAAAGACTAAGATATATACAAGGTGTTGCATTTTAAACAATCACGCCCCAAAATTTTCTTTGTTTGCAATTTTAGAGAAAAATGTTTCAGATAAAGTCTGATCTACATAAGACGCAGAACACGAATCGCAGGTCACAAAACTAGAAACTAACCTAAAGTATTTTAATTACAATAGGTTGTAAGATGCAGAACGCAGGAATTTGGGTGAACTTCAACTTTCGCGTCCTGCGTCTTATACATCGGACTTAAAAATTGTACAGCTTGAAAGGAGACATAAGATGGTGTCGTTGGTTCAATCTTGGAAAGTTGTTATGTAAAAATCACTATCAATTTCTTAAATGAAACTCCATGTCTTTCATTGAATATTCTTATAGCTTTCTCGAGAACTTTTCAAATCACTATAATGAAGTCTTTTTCTGATCAATACTTTCGAGTTATAAAGCTTGATGAAAATTAGTGGCCAACATTAGCATTACTTAAATTAAGCATCCCGAACGTGAGAAAGAACTCACGTAAATCAAGTTCATGCGCTTACAATTACGTACATTCAGAAAAGCAAATGGAGATTTGAATTAAGACACAAAATCTTTATAATCATCTGAAACACTTTGAATAATGTCAATGCTATCTTAATGTTAAAGACTCATCAATTAAAAAGTTCTTAACAAAAAGGCTTCATTATACCATTTTGAAAGTGTTCAAGTCAACTACAAGAATGTACTATACAAAATTTAGCATTTCATTTAAGAAATTGATAATGACCTTCATGTGACCTTCAAACAATTTTGCAAGGTCAAACTAACAACACCATCTTATGTCCCCATATACAACCATATACAACAATTGTATCTGAAGCGTTTTTCTCTAAAATTGCAAGCAAAGAAAATTTTGGAGGGTGATTGTTTAAAATATGACAACCTATACTGTGTATATATATATTTTGTTGTTATATATATATTATGTGTATATATATATTATAGTTGTTTTTCTTTTATTTATAAACTACAGCAAACTGATGAATTATACACAGATATGCAAGTTAATTTATATGAAGTACCTTTGAGAGCATTAGGATCCTTTGATTTAAATCTATTGGAAATCAGATTTAAAGGAAATATCTTAGCTGCTGCCTTCTCTTCTGCGATCTGATGTTGCAACTGATTGCTATCGTTTTTAGAATCACATTCAATGGAAACATTAATGTCACTACGATTATCAATAGAATTGGTATTAATTGCATCACCTATAGCGTTATTGTCTTCATTGTTTCCATTAAACTCTTTTCTTAACTTATTTACTCTCTTCATGCTTGCAGGAAAGTGCTTTGCAAAATGTTGGCCAGCTAAGAAAGCATCCTAAAAGCATTAAATATTCAACAAAAGCAAAAAGAAAATTTGAGAAAATTAACAAAATTACAAAAATGATACACTTACATCATGATCGATAATTTTCACCATTTTCGCGAGATCATTTTGATATGCTTCATCCGAAAAATATTGCGTTTCCAAAAGTGCCCAATTTATCGATGCGCTCATTACTCCTTCTGTAAACACAGGTGAAGCAGTTGACCACGACAGACAAGGTACTACTGAAATTGGCTTCGGCCAGTTGGTAGCTGCTAAAGATGCCATCTAAAAAAAACCAAGATATTTAGGAGCATATAATATACCAACTGAAATTTATTTCAGAATAAAAACCAACGTGTCCACCCATCGACAATCCAGTGAGAGCCAATGGACCAAATCCATGTTGTTCACACCAGTTTAACAAAACAATAGATTCCATTATCAGGCAGCCTCCCATAATAAAGATATCACATACATTGTGCAGACTAGACCGTCTAAAAATGAAGCGAAAAAGAATGGAGTAAGGAAAAACAAATCTGCAAAACTGGTATGTAACTTTGTACCTTACAAACCTTAATTAAGAGTTCTTACTTTTGATCATCTGGCTTTCTCAATCCATAAAATGGGTTTTCTAACAGTATCGATGCAATCCCAGATTCCTTGAGTAGTGGTTTAGCAATAAGATTTCTACGTCGCCAAAAAAACTAGTAAATATATAAATATCTTTGTAGAAATAAAGGTATACCATATTGTATACTTTGAAAGATCATAACACAATAAGCAGTAATGCTACATACGTGATCGCCTGTTCCTGCAAGATGTAAACAAATCGGCTTTATCTTATGAGAATTCCATTTAGATGGTAAAACCATCTGAAAGTAGGCCGTCTTAGTTTTATCTGGCATTATCCCTGGAAGATGCTTCTCAAAAGGCGATTCAAATCGACCCTCAATTATATGACAGTCTGACCAAACTTCATCCTATAGAAAAACACATACATTATCATTCTTTGTAACAGTGGAATCTATATTATCAGAAAGAACATGATATGAAATACTTTTGTTATCTCCATTGGATAGTCAATTGGTATCATATTATAGCATGTTTCCCGATTTGCTATAACTTTCCTGAATTCAAAAATTCTGAAACATAATTATTTAGATATTTAGATACTGTTTTAATAATTTATTGTTAGAAATTTAGATGCTTACAAGTATTACGCATTGTAAACATTATAAATGTCAGACATAGAATTGACAGAGAGAAATATCATTAAATATTATTGAATTATATTCTAAGAATTGGAACAAAAAAGATAAAGAGATAGTTGAGTCAAGATTAAAATTAATCTACATTGATAAAAACAAGCAAAAATAAGTCACCTTGTGACAAGGTGACTCAATCTTTCTTGATATTCAATAAGTTATGAAAAACAATACTATTATGTTATTTGTATCAAATAGGAAACATTCCTTAATTATATCTGTTACATCTGTAAATCTGTTTATCTTTCAAAGAAAATATCTTATCATTATAACAGTGCTGAATCACACAACACTCCGCCCATCTATCTATTATTATTCAATACGAGGAGTGATTTAAACAGATCAATTTACATGAAGATAACAATGGAAATTTACCCAATCAATCCAAGGCGTGAAGTATTCAACAAGTGACGTTGGCTATAGGTTAGATCAGGTTAGCCACTTACCTTCACTTACCTTCTTAGATTTTGTGGATTACCCCAGCCCTTCGTAAAGAACTTGGTGAGCAGGATGCTCCGGTAAACCGCGTCCAAACGACTCGGCGGCATTACGACGAAGCGGATATCGGTCTCGCCGTTTACTTGTACCGTGTCGTCGTCGAGCGAGATCCGGTATCAACAAGCATCTCACACGAAGAGTCGAACGATCCCGCGTTTACGTATCATCCCCCTCATAATCTCCGACACGCGCTCGAGTCGTTTTGCGGTCACGGAAAAAAACTAAACCTTCCACGACAGTTGACACGACTGACACGACGATCGTTGACGTGTATACATCTCGCAGTACTTATGTGCGTGTAGATTTTGCGCGCGGAGAGACCAATCGGAGAGCGAGGCGGTCGATTAGACAATAAACGCTATCGAGTGACGTTCCATGATGCAACCTCGCGCGTAAGTACGAATTTAGTTCCTCCGGTTTCTCGTTACGAAAAATGACTTCGATTGAGCTGCGATTAACTTAATGAATAATTGTTTGACCGGTAGAATCTTATACTTACAACTCCAACATCACAAAACTAATTGCTGCAATATTGCTGCAACATTGCTGCAACATGTAATATTGTTGCAACTTTTATGCTGTTGGGGAATAATCAATTTTTAAGCTAAGTCTAGTTAATTTTGATAATTGTTTAGAATACCCACCTCAAATCTTAATAAAAATACACTCGTTCGACGCGTTTCCAATCAAAACGAAAGAATCTGGCAAAAAGACGCGGCGGTCGACCTCATGAATCCAGTTATTAAATGTTAAAGTTCGAGACTTTAGAGGTTAAGATATCCCGACTCATATAACGCTACGTATACGTTTTGCATTAATTACTCAAATTCACTGTTTTAAAAATAAATTCTCTGCTTCAAAATACAAATTCACTACTTTAAAAACACAAATTCTCTGCTTCACAAACTCAAATTTACTGCTAAAGCAAAGAATGTGTGCTTAAAGCAGTGAATTTATGTTTTTAAAACAGTGAATTTGTGTTTTAAAACATTAAATGTGTTTTTAAAGCAGTGGTTTTGTGTAATTAATGCAAAACGTATACATAGCGCTACATTGAGTCGGGATAACAGATATCTTCACCTCTAAAGTCTCGAACTTTAACATTTAATAACTCGATATTCACGAGATCGACCGCCGCGTTTTTGCCAGGTTCTTTCGTTTTGAATGGAAACACGTCGAATAAGTGTATTTTTATTAAGATTTGAGGTGGGGGGAGGGGAGGAGTATTCTAAATAATTTCAATAATTTCCTAATCTAATTTGTTTCCTGTATGTTAAACGATAAACGATTAATGATTCTATGCTAATGAAATAGATATTATTTGAGTTAACTTATAAGGTATTAATTATCCTCTTGTCATGTTTAATGAGTATAATTTGATTACTCTCTAATTTATTAGGACACATATGGATAATGTAAAAACATATATTAATAATTTAATCATAATGGATTCCTATGTATAATGTATTAACTTCTACAATGAATTTATTAATTTATACGTATAATTTAATAATAATAGATTCCTATGTATAATGTATGAACTTCTATAATGAATTTATTAATTCGAGCCTTTTGAGTTGAATGGTATCGGATGATACGTGAGAAGCATTTAAAGGAGAATGTTATAAATACCTAAGTATGATTTTTTACCATCCTGGTTGTGTTCCAAAAGTTGACTCTGTCAACTCCGAATATCTTTTATTTTTGCTAAACATTCGGTGAATAACATTAAGAATAACATGATACTCGGGCTGACAATATTTAATCCCTCAATGTGCTCTTTAAAATTTTTGAAGTGAATTTCATTCTGATCGAAGAAATTTTACTCTCAAAGATTGAAAATGTAACCACACTCTTTTCTATGACTGGTTTAATTTTCACTCTTTAGTATAAGATTCCATTCTAAGTTTCATTATTTTATATATGTGACTCATACATATAGAAATAAATTAAGAATTAAAAGGAAATAACATTGAAGTAGCTAAAAAATAAAAGGGAAATTTTGTTTCTTTATTATTTAACTCTTAACCGGACGCGCCGCGACATTGAATACCGCAAAATTTATTTTTCTAAAAAATGATTGATAATGCAGGTCTTTTTTTTATTAGCGATCTTCAGTATTCCCTATTTAATGTCTCAATCATAAAATAACGCAATTGCCATATGTTTCCTATTAAGTTGGCTAGCCTTTTATCTACTAAAATCAGTGTGACACGTTTTGCGGTACGGAGTGCCATACGCGCCTCACAACGTAAGTAAAATCTTGCTTATATAAATAATTGTAATAATGCCAAGATGTTGAACTATTCCCCACATTTTAATTTATTTTTACTCATTTTAATGTTTAATATCTCTTTAGGATAGAGTTAGGTAAAATTATGTTGTAAATAAATTATAATTACTATTTTTGTTTTAAAAAGTTTATTTTATATCATTATTCTATAAAAAAAAGCATTGTTATTATTTTCTTATGTTTGTTTGTAAATTAATGTTTTTTTACAACGTGTTTACTAATTACAACTAGTATTTATCTTAATAGTAAAAATAGACGTAATTTTTATTCTATTTGTGTTAATGGGATTTTTTTTATTATGTAAGTATACTTTAGCCTTACATATTTCATAGAAATGTTATAAATTAAAGATAGTCTGATTTATATGTGAAAATTTAATAGCACGAGTAACACGCTTTTTCGTATTTTTCAGTTTACTATGATTATTCCATAACTTAGCCACAATTTAACTATCAAACACAATATGATCTAATATTATTTTACATTAATATCTACTATTATATTAATATCTATTAATGCTAATGTTTATTAACTAATACCTAATAATGTATGTAAGTAAAACTCCGAGTCTGTATACAAATATTATCTGCCCTCAGTTAAAATCTTTTGAGATCTCTTTTTAATTTCCATATGCTTTTTAGGTCCATATTTGACTGCTTCATTGAGTTTCTTATGAACTTTCTTATTCAGAAACTCTTTTATAAATCGTATTCTGATGACGTAGGGTATTATAAAGCTGAAATCATAGAAAGAAATCATTATAAATATTATTATTGTGAGTGGAAAGTTAATTTAGATAAGTAATAAAAGTAAAATAACAGTAAAATTTCGCATTACACTTTAATTTTTTACAGTCTATATCCTACAAACGAGTCTTGATATAATGCATTGCGACTATCATATAATTCTTCAAACGTATGAATTTTATGTTTTTTTATTCCACATAAATAAATTGTCATACATAGTAGACTTTTCAAGTAATAAAAATTTTTTTATTAAACCGATTGATTAACTGAAATTAAAATATTTGATCTTTGTTTATTTATGAAAAATAGTATAGGTCGTTAAGTTTGTTTTGTTAATAATCAACTTCTCGTTTTCTAACTTGACAAGAATTTTTGCGCATTATTCTTAATTATTATCTGGCTAATTGTGTTTTACTCACTATTGAACCAAAATGAGTTTAAACCATTCATAATAAGTGAGCGTACTTCGCGTACGTGGCATATCTATGTTTATTAAATTGGTGACAAACAGTAGTGCCATCTTGAACGTGAAACCACCAAAATAATAAGAGTTGCCTTCCATTATGCATTTCAGCATATGTTCCCATTCAGGCATTACTTGTGTCAAGTAGGGCTTCGCCCAAACTTCGATGAAGTCGCGTGATCTTTGTTTAATTTCCTTCAGACTTCCGCGACAGAAATTGTATCTAAACATTTATGTTTCCATCAATTACGAGAATTCCAATGAGACACAGAATTTGTCAAATAAGGAAAATATTTGAGGAATGAAAAACTTTTTAAAAACTTACTGATCTTCCATGCCAAGAAGATATCCTATACCTCTCCATGTGTGACAAAAAGCTGCCATATCTTCATCGCTAGCATAAACACCGAATTCTTGAGGATATAACAAAATCAATCCCATGAAAGCGAATTGCGTGGCTGCCATATCTGCTTGATTCAACCCTTTGGGTTTGATCAGTAGATGGATACAACCATTTTCTACAGTCGGATATGGACAGGAAGTTAAATCTTCTAAAATTGTTTCTCTATCAAGACACAATGGATTTGGAATTTTAGTGGCCATATCGATCTCCTCAGTGTCGTGTTCACAGAGTTTCAATCGGATTGCACGGTGCATTCTACGCACAGTTTGTATATCGTTATATGCTCGCGTGCCCACGGTCCACGGATCTTCCGTCATCCAATTTCTTACATAACAAGCCGTAGACAAATACCTTCAATGATAATTGGAAACTCATTATCAAATATTCGACTTCCAAACTGTAGGGCCGCCAACAATTATAACGAAATCAACGCTTGGTCAACACTGCGACTGTCAAAACTGACGGCCAATGTTCTGTCAACCAGTACTGGGCCATCTGCACTGATAAATGACTAGCTAAAATGTCTGGGCCAGTACCATCTGTCACTACTGAAATTATTATCCAGTAATCAGTATTAGGCCAGGGCGTCTATTCTTGAAAAGTATCGCATACGAAAAACTAGGGAAATGCTATAGTATATGTAACACATATTATAGTATTTCCCTAATTTTTCGTATGCGATACTTTTCGAGAATAGAGGCCAAATAGTTTGCTATAGTACTGCGCCAGTACCTGAACTATGGCAATCAGTACTGGTCTAGTACTGGGCTGATTGTAAAATCCTATTTGGGAATTGTATCAAAAATGTCGGATGTAGTAATCAAATCTGATTCAGTCATTAAAGGGTTTTTTCACGATCATGCAATACCGCGTAAATAAAAAATTCATACACGCATGACATTTTATTGCGCAAAATTTAATAGTATAAAATTAACCACACAGATACACACGTAAACTTTGTCAAATTCCAATTGACAAATGTGCAACATCTTTCATAAAACACATGACTGATTATGAATGGACCTTCTTTATGTCGACCAAAGATGAAAAATAATGACGCTATACAAATGATGTCGAATACTCAAAAACGTTGTCACATTTAATCCTAGTAAGATTAATCAGTATTAATTACCACAAATTCGTATTGTTAATTAATATTGGAATTATATATAATTAGGTTTAATAACTAAAAATGAATTAATAATTAATTTATAATATAATAATTAATTAACTTATTATTTAAACTTTAAAAACAAATAATTTACATTTTAAATATTTTGATTCGACAAAAAGTAAACCTAATAATAAAGCTTAAGTCAATAAATTATATCTCTACTAAAAATAATTATTCTAATCGACGTCAATTGAAGAAAGGGACAGAAACCAAGCTGAAAATCGGCTGAAATGTGCAAGTAAATCTCAGCACTGCTCTAGTCAATTGACGTCAATTCAACCAACTACTTCTGATTGATTCGATTTAATGAATTTTCTTAGTAATCAGTTTATCTATTTCATGTTTTTCTAGATTTCAATCTCCAGATTAATCTGTTATAAATTAATATGATTTTATAACACACACATAATGTATTAATAGGAACACATATCATAATGTATCCTAGTAAGCAAGAAGCATTAAATTTTATATGAATTTTATCAATGTTTTCATATAATGTAGAAATGCCATTAAAATATTACTTAATAATGTGATATTTCTGAACATTAAAAAACGTTTTAACAATATATAATATAATTTTCAAATATTTTAAAAAAATATGCTAAAAATTTTTATTACTTCTCTTGATATAATATTTATATAGTACTGACGTAAATTTGCTACAATTTTTTATTACTTGTATTGTAATGCAAATAAAACAATAACATCAGATTTAGAATCAAATAAATACTTGCAAAGATATAATTTCTTCCTATGTTTCTTCTTATTTTTCTCGTCTCAAGACTCAGTTGTTATAGTGGTTATAAATTTCGAAGTTGAGTATCATAATGTTTTTTCTCGAGAGTAAGAATTATTCACTTAAATCGCGATTATGAATTTTTTACCTATTCCACCTCTGACTGTAGTTTCATTAATTTCAATTCTTCAGTGGAAACGCTATAAGTTCCGATTCGATTTCATAATCAATTTTTATTTAAGACTGCCTTAAGTCAATCACAGAGTCTCATTAGCATGTTAACACATTATTCAAGATGATCTTAAAATATAAGAACAGACTATAACTACTGGCCTACGAGATTTTACCAAGATCTTCACCTTTTAAATGCTAAATACGGCGTGTGAGATTGTTGGCTGAAGATGAGCGGTTTAAGACCATCTGTAAAAGCGAATATCTGGAAAAGCGATAATAGATTAGCTAAACCAATTGACATAAAATGATCTAACACGAATTTTTGACCTCTCTGGAATTTTTCCATATCCAGCCAGAGTGGTTTGTCCATCGAATTTCGATCACAATCTCCTCGATATAATGTGCCTGGTATAAAAAATAATAAGGATTGCGGTATATTCGGGATATATGTTTTAATGTTATCTACAATATGTTTGATTTGTTCTTTCTCCGTCCATTTATCATAATCCTTTGGTTTCGCAGAATTCTGGTCGATTATAGGCTTCATTCGTTTCACAAAATGTTTGATGTATTTAACGGTGTTTTTTGCCTCTGCAAGTTCATAGTATTCATTTTTGTCTGCATCTTTTGTGTATCCATCGCTGTCATTGCTTCGATTTTTTGTACTCGGTATGATTCCTTTCACGATATTCTGAATATGGTCTTGTTTTATGCGATCCGATTTGTCATCATTCGTCATTTCCATTTGTTTCTGTTCTATCTATCAAGTGCTAGCTGTTATCACTTCCGTTTTCCGATTTCCTTTAGTAATTAATTTAGTTGGTGGTGATAATTGCTTCAGACAAACCAGTCTATAAAAAATATTTAAATGATTACGTGCCTATATTACGTAATCTTTATATTACATAAAATAGGCACAGCCAGTTTTCTATGTTAAAGTAGCAAATTTGTGTAGCTGAATTAAATTAAAGATTGTAACTAATCATATTTGTTCTAATAGCATAGCAAATTTGTTAATACAGCAAAGATAACTTTCTGAAAAAATGAATCTATTATAAAGGTCAACATTTGTAACAACATGCTAACGAAGATAGCGCATACTTTTGCTGCTATAATGAAGAAACTTATTACGTTAGCAATCTTCATTGTAGCAAAGAATTAGTTGCTCTAACAATTCAAGTTAATTAAGACAACAAATTCTGATAAATACATGGTTTTTATTTTAATACAATAAAAAAAATGCAATTCTTGAATTATTGAATAATACAACAATAAACGTATATACAATTTTTATTTAAAGTGTTACTTAAACGTATTAAGCTGGATCTTCATAGTACGCAGAATGCGGTTGCAAGGTTAGAACCTAATCTAACCTAATTATACGTCACATATAGGCTCTGGACATAAACACAGGATGCACTGAAGTTAAATTTTCGCGTTCTGCGTTCTGCGTCTTACAGCCGAAAATATGTGTGTTACGCAAGTCACACTATGTCTATATAATTTTGTAACTTGAGACCCGCGTTCAGCATGCTATGTAGGGTAAAATGTGTATTGCAAACATATTAAATTAGTTATTTCAACTGAATTAATTTGTTGCAATAACAATGACAATGTTATCGAAGATAAATTTGTTATGAGCATACTGATGACTGCTTACAGACATAAGTTCTTTGTTGAACCACCAAATTTTCTTAATTACAGATGTTAAATTCGCGTAGCAAGCTATAGCTTTGCTGAATCAGCAAATCTATTTTTTTCCGTGTACGACTCCATATATAGGCACGGAGAACATTTATAATAATGTGTTTCAAACGAAGAAAAAGAGAAACAGAAAAGAAAAAGACAGAAAAAAGGACATAAAGCGTTTATTATCGTTGTAAGGTCTCTAAGAACAAATAAATTAAAGCAAACATAATACAACATTAGAAACAGAGCCAAGTATAATGAATTAGGGAGAGAGTTACATACAGAACTATTGTTGCAGATGTACCTAACGAAAAGGTGTTACTCTCTGTGCTGATGTAATATACCATAAGCAATATACCTCACTATTCGCGCACTACATCAATAAATTACAGTCTCGGTACAACGTGGCGATGTGACACATGATGGCAAGGCAATTATTTATGAAACGGTACTTCGTAACGCGCCCACGTAGCTTCGAAGAAAAATACGACATATTTGACACAGGTCGAGTCGCGAAACAAGATGTAAAGAGAAGTCTGAAGAAAGGGAAAGGGACATGAATGTCCAATTGTTAGCATGGCATTGCACAGGAAGGGCATGAACTCGTCGAAATTTCACGTACTTGTACTGTAAATTATCAGCATGGAAGAATCCGTTTGATGAATGGCAACGTGAGACTCTTCAAGCACGTAAAATCGGTTGAGAGGTATCTTGTGACTGATGAGGTCTTCAAAAGATACTGAGTCTCGTAGTCTCACGATTAGCATCTTAAGATAACTCGAGGGACGCGTTTCCTTATAACGATACTGTTGTCGTGGTTACTCTTATATATGTCTCTGAACAAACGCAAAAAACACCCATTTGCTGACGAACACAAATTGTAATGATCGTAAGCATTATCAGTCGACTATTTTTTATACATACTAGTTTTTATACTTTTTTATTAACTATTATTTGCGTAATTTTGCATCGCAGGAATATTAATACAATAAGTTTGTTAGAAAAAACACTTGACGATGCGGACGTTGTTAAATTAATCTAAGCTATCGTAATTTGTTATTAACTCTAGAATGATATTGCAAATTTTATGTACATTGAGTGCTAAGCTATGCCTTCAGTGTCATTAGAGGATCCAACTTACCATGTGCTAAAGCGAAGACAAGCTTTCAAAAATTCGGTCCATTTGTCAATTTGGACACTTTGCTTCTTGAACGTAAAATTTACGTATCGATATCGATATTCATACAGTTATGCATAATTTTATATATTAGCCCATTCATGCGCGCGCTGACCTCACATGACCCTGATTTTATCCTGATTTTTTAAACTTCGATATCGATATTCATACAGTTATGCATAATTTTATATACTAGCCCATTTCATGCGCGCGCTGACCTCACATGATCCTGATTTTATCCTGATTTTTTAAACTTTTCTTATTTATCACTCGTTGACTCTTATTCTTTATATTATTTTACATACTTATTCAAGTTTTGAATATAGATATAAAATATTTATTTTTTCTTTTTATTTTTAAACCTAATCAATGTACTTTAAAATCAATCAATTCTATATAATTTGAAATTAACGTTTCCTTTGTTTACGGTTGTAAAAGTATTCTTCTTTCGTCCCTATTTTAGTTTACGCAAACCTTCTAATGCTTCAATTCGCTGAAATCGGAAAATTTTAAGCATTTCCGTCTGCAATATTAATTCAGCCATTTCGAATTTCCAAATTCTAAGATCAGATACAGCATCAGCGAGCCCGAAAACCTTCTAATGCTTCATTGAGCTGAAATTAAAAGACTTAGCATTTCCGTCCGTCATATTGATTCAGCCATTTTGAATTTTCAAATTTTTCATCCGGATTCGAGATCAGCGACCCCTAAATCACCCTTATACGAAATTTTGCCGTAATCGAAAGATCTTTAAGATTTCCATAATATTTCCGTCCGCCATATTGGTTCAACCATTTTGAATTTGCAAATTTTGAAACCGAATTCGGGATCAGCGGCCCCAAAAATCCCCGAATACAAAACCACATCAAAATCGGAAGACTACAACAGCCTCAACGAAAAGAGGCTTCAAAAAAACGTAACACGGCAATTTTAAGAGAGGATAATTATACATAAGTAATTTTTTGACATTTCTTCAAACTTGGTTTTTTCTAAAATAAATAGTGTACAAATTACATTTTTAATTATTTTTAATGTTTTCACATTACTATTGTTATTTCTATTACACTAAAAAGTAATTTTACAAAAAAATGTATGAACATGTATGGACACATTTCATATAAAATTATGTATGTATGAATATTTATGTATGTTTATATATATTTATACGTACTCATGCATGAAAAATTTTTTACCGGGGCACTTGATCATCTATATTAATCCAGAAGGTATTTTTTCATCTAATATTATTTGTAATAACATTTTATCGTCCAGCATTTAATTGTTAAAAATATTTTTTATTTACGTTTGTTCATGAGTTACGTGCGGACCTTGATGTCCGTTTTGCAATACTTCTTCGTCCGCGTTGATATTTATGACGTTATATACAATGTGTCTATTTAATCTTTTGCTACACGAAAAGAAGATTTTTTTTTAATATCTAATATTTTAGTTCGATCTAGATCTGCAAATAATTTTGTTGGACCATCAAAATAATAAATAAATACGTACACACTCACACGCACATGTATCACATAATAATATATACATAAATTCCATATGAATTTTAAACATACCGGAAAAGTTATGTTTATATGTATAACACATCTCTTGATTTTACTTTACTGTCTTACTTAAGTTTTAGAAACTGTTGTATTCCAAATGGCGCGATATTTAGTCACCGTATTAGTTATTATAAAATATTTAGAAGAATATAAAGATAATAAAAATAAATTTAGAGAAATAATGATATAAATGGATTTCTTGCTATTAATCTGATTACTTGTATTAAGTAATTAATTTAATGTTTATCTTAATAGTAAAAATAGGCGTAATTTTTATTCTATTTGTGTTAATGGGATTTTTTTTATTATATAAAGTACTTTAGCCTTACATATTTCATAGAAATGTAATAAATTAAAGATATTCTGATTTATATGTGAAAATTTAATAGCGCGAGTAACACGCTTTTTCGTATCTTTCAGTTTACTATGATTATTCCATAACTTAGCCACAATTTAACTATCAAACACAATATGATCTAATATTATTTTACATTAATATCTATTATTATATTAATACCTATTAATGCTAATGTTTATTAACTAATATCTAATAATATATATAATTAAAACTCCGAGTCTGTATACAAATATTATCGGCCTTCGGCTAAAACCTTTTGAGATCTCTTTTTAAATTCCATATGCTTTTTAGGTCCATATTTAACTGCTTTATCGATATACATATGAAGTACCTTATTCAGATACTCTCTTACAAATGGAATCCTCGTGGCGTAGGGTAATATAAAGCTGAAATCATAGAAAGAAATCATTATAAATATTATTATTGTGAGTGGAAAGTTAATTTAGATAAGTAATAAAAGTAAAATAACAGTAAAATTTCGCATTACACTTTAATTTTTTACAGTCTATATCCTACAAACGAGTCTTGATATAATGCATTGCGACAGCCTATCATATAATTCTTCAAACATATAAATGTTACCTTTTTATTCCACACAAATAAATTGTCATACATAATAGACTTTTCAAGTAATAAAAATTTTTTTATTAAACCGAATGATTAATTGAAATTGAAATATTTGATCTTTGTTCATTTATGAAAAATAGTCTAGGTCGTCTGTATTGTTAATAATCAACTTCTCGATTTCTCTAACTTGACAAAGATTTTTGCGTATTATATTTAATTACTATCTGGCTTGTGTTCTACTCACTGTTGAGCCATAATGAGTTTAAACCATTCATAATAAGTGAGCGTACTTCGTGTACGTGGCATATCTATGTTCATTAAATTGGTGACAAACAGTAGTAACATCTTAAATGTGAAATTATCATAACAATAACAACCGCCTTCTATCATGCATCTCAGCATATGTTCCCATTCAGGCATTATTTGCCTCAAGTAGGGCTTCGCCCAAACTTCGATGAAGTCGCGTGATCTTTGTTTAATTTCCTTCAGACTTCCGCGACAGAAATTGTATCTAGACATTTATATGTTTCCATCAATTACGAGAATTCCAATGAGACACAGAATTTGTCAAATAACGAAAATATTTGAGGAATGAAAAACTTTTTAAAAACTTACTAATCTTCCATGCCAAGAAGATATCCTATACCTCTCCATGTGTGGCAAAAAGCTGCCATATCTTCATCGCTAGCATGAATACCTAATTCTTGAGGATATAACAAAATCAACCCCATAAAAGCGAATTGCGTGCCTGCCATATCTGCTTGATTCAATCCTTTGGGTTTGATCAGTAGATGGATACAACCACTTTCTATAGTCGGATATGGACAGGAAGTTAAATCATGTAAAATTGTTTCTCTATCAGGACACCATGGATTTGGAATTTTAGTGGCCATATCGATCTTCTCAGTGTCGTGTTCACAAAGTTTTAATCGGATTGCACGGTGCATTCTACGCACGGTTTGTAATTCGTTGTATGCTCGCGTGCCCACGGTCCACGGATCTTCCGTCATCCAATTTTTTACATAACAAGCCGTAGACAAATACCTTCAATGATAATTGGAAACTCTTTATCAAATATTCGACTTCCAACCTGTAGGGTCGCCAACAATTACAACGAAATCAACACTTAGTCAACACTACGACTGTCAAAACTGACGGGTATGTGAAGTTAGCACCCCAACTATAGTACTCAGGAGTTCTGATTAGAGTTTCCGTTTCTTTTTGACGAGACAAAGAGTTCTATATAATTTATAACAAGATTTCCGCTTAATAACTATTTTTAAATAAATTTAAAAAATGGGGTGCTAACTTCTTCGATTTCTTCGAAAATCGTGATTCAATAGTTCTGAGCGGCCCAATAGCTTCATTTCGTGAATACCTAGAGTTCCTGATACATAAAAAAAATTTTTTTTAAATAAAAAAAATTATAAATTTTTGAAAGATCAATTTTTAGATACAATTTCTAAATAGAGTTCCTGCTTCCTTTCAACGATACGAAGAGTTCTCTACTTTTTAACTCGAGATTCCCTTAATAACAATTGTTTTATTTGCATTACAATACAAATAATAAAAAAAATGTAGCATATTTACGTCTGTACTATATGAATATTATATCAAGAGAAGTGATACAAATTTTTGGCATATTTTTAAAATATTTGAAAATTATATTATATGTTATTAAAACGTTTTTCAACGTTGAAAAACGTTTTAATAACATATAATATAATTTTCAAATATTTTAAAAATATGCCAAAAATTTGTATCACTTCTCTTGATATAATATTCATATAGTACAGACGTAAATATGCTACATTTTTTTTATTATTTGTATTGTAATGCAAATAAAACAATAACATCTGATTTAGAATCAAATAAATACTTGCAGAGATATAACTTCTTCCTACGTTTCTTCTTATTTTACTCGCCTCAAGTCTCAGTTGTTAGTTATAAATTTCGAAGTTGACTATTATAATGTTTTTTTTCTCGAGAGTAAGAATTATTCATTTAAATCGCGTTTATGAATTTTTTACCTATTCCACCTCTGACTGTAGTTTCATTAATTTCAATTCTTCAGTGGAAACGCTATAAGTTCCGATTCGATTTCATAATCAATTTTTATTTAAGACTGCGTTAAGTCAATCACGGAGTCGCATTAGCATCTTAACACATTATTCAAGATGATCTTAAAATATAAGAACAGACTATAACTACTGGTCTACGAGATTTTACCAAAATCTTCATGTACCTTTTAAACGCTAAATACGGCGTGTGAGATTGTTGGCTGAAGATGAGCGGTTTAAGACCATCTGTAAAAGCGAATATCTGGAAAAGCGATAATATATTAGCGAAAATGACTGAGAAAAAATGATCTAGCACGAATTTTTGACCTCTCTGGAATTTTTCTATGTCCAGCCAGAGTGGTTTGTCCATCGACTTTCGACCACAATCTCCTCGATATAATGTACCTGGTATAAAAAATAATAAGGATTGCGGTATACTCGGGATATATGTTTTAATGTTATCTACAATATGTTTAATTTGTTCTTTCTCCGTCCATTTATCATAATCCTTCGGTTTCGCAGAATTCTGATCGATTATAGGCTTCATTTGTTTCACAAAATGTTTGATGTATTTAACGGTGTTTTTTGCCTCTGCAAGTTCATAGTATTCGTTTTTGTCTGCATCTTTTGTGTATCCATCGATGCCATTGCTTTGATTCTTTGTACTTGGTATGAATCCTTTCATAGTGTCCTGAATATGATCTTGTTTTATGCGATCCAGTTTGTCATCATTCCTCATTTCCATTTGTTTCTGCTCTATATCTATCAAATGCTAGCTGTTATTACTTCCGTTTCCTATTTTCCTTTAGTAATTAATTTAGTTGGTGGTGGTAATTGCTTCAGACAAACCAGCCTATAATATAAAATAACATTATTATAATAAAATAACAATATGAAAAAGGAATTAAATGGTGATTTGTTATTGCTATGTACATATTGTGGCGATCGAGCAGATGGCTCGCGCCACAAGTCGCGCGCGCGCTCGGCGCTAGCCGGCGGAGTTTCGCGCCGCGCCTCCAGAGGGCGACGAACTCGAGCGCGAACCCGCGCTCAAGATCCCGCAGAGCGACTCACGAGGATGCGAAACATATGCTGGATTCACACTGCGTCCGATGTAAATCCAGCAATACTCAGCACGTTTTATCAGAAATTTTTACGTTGATCTCGTACCTTGTACCTTGATCTCATACGTTTATTTGCATCTTCTTTATGGTTATTTTGAGGCAAATTGAAAATATGTTTCGTCTATCGGTCATATCATCTTTGTCGGATAGGCGAGAGCCAATCAAAAGAGAAGAAAAAAAACATTGAATTTTTCAAAAAAATAGCTTTTGTTTTTTTAGTAATAACTATTCTTGTTGAAAAAAAAAAAAGATATTTTTTTACCTTTAAATCTGATTTTATTTTAGTATTCTACCTAAAAAAAAAACCTTGTGACCCAATGTATGTCTCTCTTCTTTCACGTCGGTATTATCGAGTAACGAGATAGCTCGTACCTATAATAAATAGTTGATACAATAGGATATAATGGTACCCATGTAGTGTAATGGACACAGGTGAATTGTTATTTATGTATGAGATATATTCGTTCAGAACATGATGGAATCAAGTTTTAAATTAAACGTTTTTCTATTTCTCGATCATTTGTTGCGAAAAATGCTTGGAACAAAAATTCCGAGAAGAAGAGGCCGTATTATTTTCCAATATTTCCACGTTGGAGAAAATATTATTATTGGATATCGTACGATTTAACACGAATAAAAGTTGCATTTAAAATCGAAATAGTTCAGTTTTATTTATTCGTGTATAGTCAAGAATTTTATCAATATTACTGCATTTTTTTTGGACATATACTACTTTCATAAATTCGATTTGCGAATTTTTTTCCCGAAATATTTAACTTCTCGTAAAATGCGAAAAAAATTGCAAACGTTCCTAAACTTATAAACAGTAGTATATAATTTGTTTTAGAAAATCATGTTTTAATTATTCGTTATTATTTGTAAATAACATATTTTCTCAACAATACTAATTATGTTGTGAATATTTGCTGTCCATTTGTAAAAGAATGCACATTTGTTTCACCGATTGTTTATTTTAATGTGCAATAGAGAGTGATAGCAAATTTAAACAACACATTACAAAATGTTCAGCTGTTGGTAAAACGAATGCAAGATAACTGATATAAATACTGATTAGCAATCGAACTTTCGAGAGATTTTTATTTATTCCGATAAGAATTTACGTATTAACTTCGTACACTTAATTAAACGATATTATCAGTATTTAATAACTTTACAACTATTAGTAGTTCTATTTTAAACCGTTTAAAAGCTTCACAATTTTTCCTGAACACATTTTTTTGCATTTGCAAGATACAAATCTTATTCTAATAGTTTAGCCAATATAATTAGTTTGTTAGGTGACTGTGAATAAATATACATATACTTAACAAGCTACATCAATTCTTATATATAACAAAGTTAAATTAATAATCGAATATCAACTAATCTGAGAAAATGCATTTGGTCATAGAATTTGATCGCACGTTCAGCAAAGATAACGTTTTATTTTCGGTTGTCACAAATGGAATTTGCTAAATGTCTTATAAAAGAATTCTCGTAAATATAACAGAGTCTGAGTGCCGCAATCGTGTATCAGTGTATCTAGCAGTCTGTCCATATGTACGATCTCTCTACAGAAATTCGAATGTTGGGTGACTTGATCCGGATCGTCCTAAAGGCGGAGAGGGACACGAAGGGCCACGTGACCGGGCGCGTGTTCAACAGTAACAGCTGCACCGATGCACTCCTTTCAATTCACGTTGAACCTCCACCGAGGTAACATTACAACGGTCAGCCGAACGAATTTTATTCTTGACTCACGTAGAAATATTTTATCCTAAACTCTGAGTGCCATAAAAATCATTCTATCCGCATTCGTGTTAATTCAATCATAAATTATTCTGTTTTCCCTCTCTAAATCGAGATCAAAGCGTGAGATCATTATTTTCATTTGAATATATCCTGATGCAGATGAAGTTATGATTATACCGTAATTTTTGAAAAAAAAAGTGATTTTGATTGAAGTGGCAAGCACGAAGAATAGAATTCAAAAGACAATGGATAATCGCCGGAAACTAATCCGCAATCGATGCATGATGCTGATTATTGTCATCGTCTACACGCTGACTGTATTTATTAAGGTATGTGTTCTTTTCGAAGCAATTAAACATATTTTATAGAATACATTTTCATATATTTGCAAAAATATTAGATTCATTTCCGTTGTTATGAAAATTATTGCAATTATCTTGGAAATCTGCAAATTAATCTTATTCTTAAGGCCAAGCTCATTAGCTAGTTATGTAAGTGTTGTAAATAAATATATATATGTTTATATATATTTACATTAATTCTTTTATAAGATAAGCAACAGAATTAAGTTAATGATCGGATGTCAATTAATCAGAGAAAATGTATTCAATCACAGAATTCAGTGACAAGAACAATTTTATAGAAGTAATCTGATAAAGATCGTTAAAAAATGTATTGACGCAAAAAAAGAGTACCTGATTAGATTTACCTGAATATTGGAATAAATTATTATTCATTTGAGAAAAAAACTGCATGTGTTCGATACCCCTGTATTTCTTATTAATACGGTAAACTGCGTGAGGACAAATTTAATTGCATTGACATAATCCGCAAGAATAATGCGATTTTTAAAAATAATATTGAATCGTTTTCACGTAAATTTCAATTGAATGAAATACAGCGCTGATAAAGAGGGAATAATTGCAGGTATTATTTTCCTATTATCTTTGCTTTAAAATTCTCTGAAATTCCCGTGTTACGATTTCGGATGTAGCGTAATTTCAAGCGCTATTCGAGCCCTGTTAAACGAGAGACATTGGACTAATTATTGGCTGGATCCATAAAGCGCGAATGCAGGGCGAGGAAGAACGACCAAGATAGTAATTGTGGTGCGAAAGCACAGAATTTCGATATTGATTTCATGATAATTATTACCATGTGATTCGCTTGGCTAAAATATCACCGGATAAAATCAGTTCTCACGACCGTGAATTTGCAATTTCATAACAATAGGATGCGGGTGGTAAAGAAATATGAGAGATCTTTTCTTGCGAAGGTCAAGCCGGAAATATTAGACTGCTCGGACACTTACGAGATACTTATCTGTAAAATTAAAAATATAATTCATAGAAGATATCGCACACAGAAATCGCACACACAAAAAATATTTCTTCTGTTTATTATAGTTAATAGATTTCGTCGTAAAAAAACAAGAAGTTTCAGTCAACTTATTCCAAAATTAAATATTTCGTAAAAATTAGAATCTATTATTTGTTACATTTTCTTGATGGATGTCATTTTTACTATTGATTATCTGCTAAAAGATTTTACTTAAATAATAAGAATTGTTTGTATTGTAGTAGATATATTTTTAAAATACTAATATAATTATAATGAATTGTAATTTTAAAATAACTACGATTGATATAATATTTTCTTCTTTAAAAATCTAAAATATGTCATTAAGGGAAAGAAAGTTAAGTAAAATAGAAATTTGACTAATTCAAGAAACGTGAAATCGATTAAGTGTTACAGAAAATAATCGAAGTTATCATTGAATTTTTATTGCGAATTTAATGTATATTTTGCAATGCATTAGATTGCAAAGTTTTGCGTGCATATTAATAAGAGTACGTAAAAAATTGAACGCAAAATTGAAGCAAAATGTATGATCTCGCCTGTCATCTGCGATTGTTGCACGATACTCGAATACAAATACGCCCCGTTCACACGTTACGCACGTTACACGTGCGTCAGCGGGTTATTCGGTTCACTGGGGTATGTCATATTTTATGAGACTCATTAACATGGCATGGGAATCCGGAGACGGCAGTTCCGCTCGGGGCGTGAGTTTCGCGATGCTTTACTTAGCCCTTGATCCCTTTGCGTTCCTACGACTCCCTATATAGGCACAGGGAACATTTATAATAATGTGCTTCAAATGGAGAAAAAGAGAGCGATCCTATTGTCGTGGTTACTCTTATATATGTCTCTGAACAAACGTAAAAATCACTCGTTTGCTGACGAACATAATATTGTAATGATCGTAACCAGCAATATCAAAGTCGTATTAATCGCGCTATTTATAACTATACTGTAAGTTTTCCCCACGTTTTTCCGTTTTCGACTTCCTGTTTTTTATACCGATTAGTTTTTATATTTTTTTATTAATTATTATTTGCATGACTTTGCATTGCAAAAATATGACTTTAATATTGCTGATTACGATCATTACAATATTATGTTCGTCAGAAAAAACGAGTGTTTTGTATATTAATACGATATGTTTGTTTTAGAAAAAATACTTGACGATGCAGACATTGTTAAATTAATGTCTAATTAATGTCTAAGCTATCGTGATTTTTTGTTGACTCTAGAATGATATTGCAAATTTTATGTACATTGAGCGCTTAATCTTTGCTTTTTATGTAACATTTTATTTTTACTGCAACATTTCAAGTTTCTCAGAAAAGCATTCTCATTAAAACATCAAGGTTTATTTTGAACGTGAGGTGAGCATTTTGTAATTAACAATGCTTAATGCAAATTATTCGCGACGTTAAAACAGATACAAGAATATGCTTTTATCTCTCTTCCTCCCTCGTGTCCAGGTGTATGGTAGCTTCCTCCGATTTATAGAATATGCAGAGGGCGGAGTGTTCACGGAACAATAGGGTGCGTAGCGACCGAAGATAATTATCGCGGTTCTCGAGGCAGCTGCGACTGTGGGTTCACCCTCGGGGTAACCCAGCGTCTTCCTCCGGGAAGTAGAGCCGGCTGGTGTGCTCGGAACACACACACACACACACACACACACACAAAGAGAGGACAGGGGGAACCCAGTCTGGCGTGACTCCGCAGGTACTGCCTGTTGCAATTTTGGCGGTGCCCTCCTCTAAAAGTATCGGGACTTTGCGGTTCGCTCGAAAGCGGAAATAACGTCAGGAAATATTGAAAGTATCAAAAGATTATAAATATATAGAATCCAGAATATTATAGGATACTCGTGAGTCTCGATGGCTCTACGAAAAGGAGAATATCGAATATCTTTAAATATCAATGATATAATTGAAACAAAGAAAAACTAGAAAGTACACATTTCTCATATTAATGATATTATATTTAAAATTATTCGATAAAATCTCTTCCATTCAATTAATTAATAATATTTCTTGTTCACTTAATTTTTCTACTCATTTTTGTAAATGTGAGAAGTATTTATACAAGTTTGACGAATTCGATAAATATATATGTTTCAATCAGTATTAGCAGACTGAGAAATCGCAGAGATTCAATCTGTATAGTAAAGTACGTGCATCGACGACGAGGACGAAACGTCTTATCCTGTAATAACGTTTGGAACGTGTCTCCATTTGGTTTCAAAATTACTGCAATTTTTTTTTCTCGTGCGCGTGGTATCCGCCTCTTCCGGTGACAAATGGAAGTAGGCCACGTTCCTTCAGGTGAATCGGGTAGGAATAATTCGCCGCCCTATTCACGTGCGCGAGTCTTTTCAGCTACCCTCAAAGCGCTCGTGCACGCGTGTATTATACTCAAAATTCTTTCCTTCTTTTTTCATCGTTAATTATCTTCATGGTCGCGAAGACGTAACAGACTAAAAGATAATTACTATACCAATCATGAATAAATTCAATGGAAATCTCTTTCAAAGTCGTTTCTGGACTTTGATTTTTCAATTAATTGCCTTCAATCACTTATACTTTTTAATTACTTGCTTTTAGTTATTTACTTTTCAGTTATAGCTAAGTTCTTTAAATCGTTGATTTCGGAAAAAAAGAAAATGTTTAAATGAAGCGGCGAAGAGCTTTTATTACAATGAAACTGACCGATCGGATGAACGTCATCAAAGTTTTACGTCACGTGGTATGTGCATCCATCGCGCAGTCTATTCGTTTGAAATTTATCGATATCGATGTATCGACTAGAAAAAAGAAAGAAAATAGAAGCAGAAACGGGATACAAAGGGACCAGCAATTACCGCTTCCGTTCTGTTCGTCATACCGGAAGTTTCTATTCATACTCGTCGCACTATAAGCGTAACTTTACTTCCGTCATTGTTGTTACGGATCGTTAACAGACCCCGCCTGGCTTTTTGCCCCGTCGAGTCTATAGATCTGTTCACATTGCTTGAAATTCCCAAAAAAATTTTTAATGAAATAGATGTATATTTGAGCTTTGAAAGGAGAGAAAGCGAAGATGCCGAATGAAAAAAGTGCAAGCAACGCGAACAGACCTTATATCTCTGAAAGTTATATTAAAAAAAAATATCTTTACATTACAAGAAGATATCGAGCTGTTCAACGCATTTCTTCTAAGTGTCTAGTTCCGCGGAACGGTCTAGTACCGACATTTATTAGCATACCACGGATTCTTCGAGCTCGTAAGACCTGTGTTTCCACGGTGCATAATCGGTTTGCAACGTGCTCTCGCGATGGCAGGGAGCCGGTGAAAAGAAATATCGGAAATCGCCAAAGGGTGCTTCCAACGCGATGCCTCTCTTTCTCTCTGGCCAGCTCTCTGCATCGTTCGAGCGTAGCGTCACTCGAAGCTTCGAGTGACGATTCGTCGACTCGAGTACAAGAATGTTGTATCGAGTACAAGAATGTTCTACGGTTTCTACAAATGAACTTTTTCCCAATCGATAAATCTTGCCTAGGCAAAACCGCTGTGTCTTCTCGACTGTTGCAAAATCCTCGAGAGTATTTCCATCGAAGAATGCAACGTCTCTCCCACTCGGAGCAATTCTGAGAAGCTCCGAAGATCGATGTTTCTTGCTTGTTGATGCTCTTACGAAGTATTCTCGCTCTCCGCTGGAATTAAACCTCAACCGTAGTTCTTCAGTTCTTAACTCACTTTGGCATTACCTTCAATACAATCTTCCATTAAAATTCTATTACGCCAAACTTTAAACTTAACTGAAGAACAAAATTTCATTTATATTTGTTTTCATTCCTGTATTCCCTCTTTTCTGAAAGTTAATTCGTGGAGGAATTTATTTAAAATTTATTTAATATATTCCATGGTTTATTATTATCTATTTATTATACTGTCAATGCGCTAGCTTGATAAAGTAGTAGTTATCCACTTTGAAGGGTCGTAACTCTTTACTAGTTTAGTAACCGCAACCCTAAATTGACGAGGTAACATGAGTTATCTCTGTGATAGAAAATTATGAGCGTTCAATTGCAAATTACGAAAAAATAAATGTAGTTTCTCTTAGGAACAATTTTGTATTATCAGCAACGTACAATGAGAAGCAAAGTTTTTCATATAAAATTAGTTTTTATGCAAAACATAAATTCAAGTGACGTAAATGGGAGCAAAAGGATATACAACATCTTTAAAATGAAATTAAAAATTATTCTCTGAATACCGTATACGCTTATATACCAATTTACATCAACTCACAAATTTACAACTTCGCGTAAAAGAAAATATAATTTTAAAAAAGCATTCTTGGTAATAAAATCTCACGACTTCTGATCTTCCCACAAATTATAGACATTATTACACACATTCGTTCATTGTACGAGTTGATAGGACAAAATTGTTTCTAGGAAAGACTGATATTATTTTCTCAATAATCCATGTCGTGAGAAGCTCGATGGCAAGCCCACGATACAATGTACGATGGCGAACATGCGACGACGACGGTGTGCGCGCAGAGGTAAGGTGAAGGGTTTCAAATTAAGGCCCGGTGCTAACGATTCGCGTGATGCGTGGTGACCGTCGGCGCGTGCCGCACGAAGCAGCTGCCAACAGCTGCTGTAGAAAAGAATCGCCTCTTGTTCTTATTTTATTTGTTACCTGTCGCCAAACCTCTGTGGTCAAACGATAACATTCGCCTTTCGGAAAATACAGTGGACAAAAGTCTTTTATGTGAGACAAACGATGTTAAAAATTTAACTACGATCGCACGTGTTCTCGGAAAATATATACAGCCAATTGTCAAAATTTCGTTGACTGTATGAAACCAAGATTTAAACTGAGATCTCTTGAGATGATATAAAGTATTATTGTAATTACTGCATGGAAAAAGGCAGTCGGGGATATAAGTAAGACATATTTTTAATATATTTTATTTAATATATTTAAATATATTGTAATGATATGTTACACTCGATATTTGGAAAGTATTTTAAACTGAGAGAAAGTTATGGATCTGCAATCGATCAGACTGACTTATTTTGGGAAAATTAGTCGGCGAAAGTGTAGCGGATATCCTAACGTATTAAAAGCAACATTTTATGCGTGAGAGAGTACAGAGGCTCATATATCGCGTCTCTCGATCTGCTCGAAGTAGGCGGAAGAAAGGCGCAAGGTGTTCCCTCGAAGTCAGGTGGCCGCCTTCTTCAGTGCACCTGTTGTTGAACGGTTGAAATTGCATTTTATCAATTCATATTAAGACTAGTAGAAAAGTAATATCCATCAGTAATAATAAACCGATTATTCTCTAGTTCTAGTACGATCTATTTGCTCTGTTCACAAGTCCTTTTTAGAAAACAACTTTATATCGCAGTTTTAAACAATTTAATTATCCACAAATATAATTTGAAGTCAACTTGTCTCGTGGATCGATCGTGTAATCAGTTTTTAAATTCTATCGAAGATTTAAAAAAATTGTACCGTGGAGTCTTTAGAAAATAACCTCATTAGAGAACAGCTTTACACTGCCTGAAGGAACACATGCAGAAATACAGTTTTACAAAGACTCTTTAATTATTTACAAATGTCATACGGAGCCAAGTGGTCGGATTGACTACACGGTCAATTTTTAAAACCTTTCGAAGATCTGATCCTAAAAGATCGCGACGTGGAGCCTTCAGAAAACAGTGTCTCTCGAGAAAATAGCTTTACACTGCCTGAAGGAACGCATGCAGAAGTACAATTTTAGATTCTTTAATTATCCACAAATGGCATTCTGGGTCAAGTGGTCGGATCGATACAATCTCAATTTTTAAATCCTTTCGATTAAAAAAAATCAGGACGTAGAGTCACTCGCACGGCGTGTCCTACGAATTTCACCTTTCGGAGCACTAACCATCTGCCGCTCTGTTTCCAGGCGGTTGAGAGCAGGCCTCACATCAGGCACCACCGGGATGGCTCGCACTGCAGCAGATGCGGTCCAGGCTGGGGCGTGATTAGCCGTTGCGCTCGCGGCCGCGACACCGTATGCGAGCGATGCCCCAGCGGTACGTACAGCCCGCATCACAGCACGCAGCCCTGTTGGAATTGCGCCAGATGTGGCCCGGGTTTGTACGAGGCTCATCCGTGTACATCGCGCACCGACACCGTCTGCGACTCCTGCCACCGTCCAGCACCGGACAATCCGGACTACCGACGGAAGTGCGAAGGTCGCGCGAGGTTCTTCCTCGCCCCGGAGGACGCGCAGAGCACCGCCGAGGAAAGCGTGCTGGTGAATGAGCCCGCTTACCGGTTCCAGCTGTATGACAGGGAGCAGGTACTTGAAAAGGATGTGGAGGCCGTCCTGAGGGACAAAGCGACAGTTGGCTCGGAGGTTCTACAGAGGATCCAACCATCGTCCGAGCATTAATCTCCAAGATGATCTGACATATTCCTATCCATCGAACGAAAAAGAAGGTATAAAGTTTTTTTCGATTGTGATGCAGAATTCTTCAAGTTTGATTATTATTAATCTACCTGAGAAATAAATGGATGGTGTAGAAATTCGTACAGATACGTAATAAGATTAGAAGAATAATATACGTTCGACATTGATCGATCTTTTAATACTAGTCAATTAGTGCTTAAGAGAATTAATTTCTTTTACTGAACAGCGAATGACTTTAGTAAGAGTTTAAAAATGGGAATATTCGCAAAGTGAATATTCATTTAATATTTGTCGGTTAGAATTCCGATTGTTCGCGTAGTTTACAACAGGCGACACAATAAAGAAATGGAAAAATACTTCCTGACCCCGCTAGGTATATAGTATAAAAATAAATCCTTCTCCTTAATACGAATAGACTGTTACATTTTTAATATTTAGATCAGTATTGCAAGTCGTATTACAAATGCATATGTCAATAACTGTTGTTCGTAGATTCATCGTAGATTGCAATTTATAAAATAGTCAGAAATTTTTCATTCAAGCGTCCGATCGTGAAACATAGTTCTATAAAAATTTACGCTCTTTATTTTTGTGTTTCCGAATATTATCATTGCGTCTACATCCCTTACAGAAATTTAATATACTGTCGAATTCTTAAATACTATAAAACAGTAATTACTTATTTCAAGTATTAAAAGCACCATTGTTCATTATACTTCAAATAAATAATTAATTACTGTCTTAATAAATTCTTTTTAAAGTATGTTTTTTCAATAAACTGGTTAGTATTAAATTTCTGTAAGGAACTGATTTATTAGATTATTATCGTTACGACTGATAACAAGCGCACGTGCACTTGTATAATTAATCAATATGCTCAAATCTACGTAAAACTATTGACACATTTTTTAGGTTTATTCGAAATTAGTATGATCGATATTGCTGGATGCTAAGGCGATATGGTCCTTCAATGTTATTTCGTCTGAAAATAATCTGATCTCTTACTTACGTGATTACGAATTCAATCTTCTAATCCATATTTGATGAATTTTTTGGATCACGTATGCGAACGATCCGAAGATATAAATATCACCAGGCACTGTAAAATATAATAGACGTCTGCATTGTGAAATACGATCGTCTACAACTTACAGCATTATTTATATATTATTCCGTATACGAAAATAGATCTCTGTGAACACCAACTTACAATGTACTTTGCTAAGCATACTTTGATTATTCTCTTCAAGCAACTGGCACGTTACGTGTTCTTCAATTTCTTAAGTATATTGGTGATAAAAGAAAAACGAATAACATTCACTATAGTGTTTCTAATCCTTTTTATTTCTTTCTTCTTTATTTAATTGATATGAATTTAAATTGAAAATAAAATATAGTTAAATTAAACGTTTTATTATACGAATATTTTATATAACGAAACACATGTATTTTAGTTTTAGCAATCGAAACTGAATTGAGATCACTTTCTTGCCTATTTTCAACTGGATTCAATTGCATTGAAAAAACTGCATCTCTTATTCATTATTTTGAGCAGTATACATATTGCGCAGAAAAAGTTAATATTATTTTTATATTGAAAGCCATAGAAATATGCTCCATGAAATTTCTATAAATGAATAAAACGCATTCAGATTGAAAAGGATTTATTTTAATCCATTCTCGTTTACTGGAACGTGAATATTTCATACGCAAAATAAGACTGCAAAGTATATTAATATTACTTTGATACCGATAATATTCATTACTGACAAAATATTTTGTATTTAATATGCGGCAATGTATTTCTAGAATTGTGACGTGTTCAATGTTTCATATATTTGTGAATTTTATTGTCAAACGAATGCATGATTAACAATTAAATGCTAGAATACGTCGAGCAGACAGATCTGCCAGTGGCGAATTATAGCGCTATAAAAAATGCATGTCTCAAACGGTACCATTGATTTATTTTAGTACTGTAAAATGCATTTTTAAGAGTTGTTGTAAATATACTTTAGCTAAATGCTACTTAAACAACGTCGTTACTTCATTTACCGTACCATTTCACGATTTTATCATAAAAAAAATTTTTTACACTAGATAATTGTCAAAAGCTACAAAATCACAAAAGAAGTTTGTGTGACAAAGTTTGGTGTGTTTATCGGATCAATACCCACGTAATAACGTACATTTTAAAAATAAACTTTGAAGTGAGAGTTACATCTAATATAGCCAATAAACTCTGCACCAAGATTTTTATTGATTATTGAAAGTCACTCTGTTGATTTCTTGGAAGAATTTATCTGTGGAATGATGCGTGGTCATTGTTGATGCGTTCCCGAAGCGTCTTAGAGTTTGCGTTAAAGATAAAAGTGACTATCTTGAATGTTTATTTTTAACATTTAATGAGATATAACTAATCCAGTGTTTTGTAAATATATAAATTATTAATAATTTAATAAACACAAAACTTTGTACTTAAACTTTTTTATCACCCTAATAATATTTTTGGGCATAATTTTATGTTCCTTCATAATCATAGTTCCAATTCTGATCCAGTCAGGGTCTTTGATCTTTACTTTCAACAAAAAATTCTATTCTGGTTTTATATTCCTATCTTTTAAAAATATACATATTTGCACATAGAAATTCGTAAACTAATGATGAAGATTACAATAAATCAATATTCGATGCAAACTATCAATGTAATACTTACTTTTTATCTTCTAAGTTTAAGAATTAAAAAAGATAAGGATTAAATTAAATCTCTCTCTCTCGAGGTTAACCTATATTGATAGAAATGGACATTAATCGTCCAAATTCTCGCGCTGAATGTTGATTCATTGTAATCTTCATAATTAATCTCCGGATTTCTATGCAAATACATACATTTTGATAAAAATGGATCTGATTGAAGTTAAAACGGAGAAAATTGTTAAAACAATGACAGAATGAAAAACCAGGTAAAGTAGGCACATTTTTATATGAGAGATAATATTTATGTATATATATTATTTTATGATATAAATCAATAATGTTTTATAAACGTACATGTGTACATACAAAGCTAAATGATACAAAATAAATCAGTGATCCAGGAAAGGACGCTTGCACGATTTATTCTGCGTAAGGTATCGGCTAGAGCGGTACTCGGAAGAGATAAAGAAGGGTGAAAACGAACGCGTGATACGGGACTAAAGATTTCTCGCGTAAAGATTGAATGTAGAAACTGCGGTTTCTTGAACTTCTGTGAAAGCTCCCCGAGGCTCGGAACTCCATGAATATTAAATCGAATGGCGAATTCGTAATATATATATATATATATATATGTAAAAAAAAAATACGTGTATTCGAACGATGTGCCACGTGCATAACTAGAACGAAAAATCCTATGAAACTCGCTGCGCATCAGGAAAAAGAGTAAATATACTAGCTAATCGTAGCTGGAGATCAAGACCAATATACGCTCGTTAACATTTGACTTCGAAGTCACAATGGTCAAAAACCACGCGGGACAACACTCATGCATATGCTACACGAGGAAATAAATACGATGAACATCGTTAATTACAAAGGGACGAAAGTCGCAATCTACTATGATATTATCATACAATACGCTCGTCCGCAAGCGTGAGCGAGGCGACTCGTGGCCGAAAATTAGCCGCGATCTACTCTCTACGCTCGTTTTATTTTTTCGCGCTCATCAACCGTTTCGGCAGTTGTTCGCGATAGGTCTATTAAATTTCTACATTAAATCTGTACACGATTAGACCGCAATGAAAAGGAGACAACGACACAAACGATAGCGCGAAAAGGTAGACATTCCCGCGCAACGGTCAGACACTCTTTTTTTTTTTTTTCTTTAATTTCTCTCGTATGTGTGTGTGAACAGACGAGTATTTTTAAGACTACACGAATTGAATATCCGAATATTAGAATATCTCGACATTCGTAGATAATTCGAGGAATCTTAGAGTAGAAGACGATAGGCTTTATGGCATTAATGTGATACGTGATAAAAACGAGGTCTTTCATATCACATCGCTTTACACGATATTGTGAGTAATTCGGCTTACCAAAGAATTCTAACAGATAACAACGAATTACGCGGATGGACATTCGAGATATTCAAATTATTCGAACATTCAGCACGTATTGTAGTCAAATATTGAATCGTACCGACGGCTTCGATCGTCAGCAAATCGGAGCATCGCCACGTGATAATCTAACAACCGTGTGTCGCCACACATTTCTCTTAATATATATATATATATATAATTCATGTATTTTTTTATAATATAAAGGTATGTATATATTATATATATTAACGCAACTTTCATTTGAATGTGAAACAGCCCATGCACGATCTATCGATCTGCATATAAATTTCGCGTGATATTTCTCTAATATATTTAATTTTACGTATAGCTCGAATGCTTAGATTCGCGCAATAGTCTTTTGCTACGTAAATCGTAGGATCATGCGTGGGCCTTTTAAATCTAAAGCGCAACACGATTCTCATCTCTATAATATATAATAAACGCGAACTCTATATAATAATACGAATGAGGAGATATATCGTTATTATAAATATCGTTGACTTTGTTTTTAAAATATAATCAAACTTTCTTGCAAAATCCATGACTGGCAGTCAATGGTTGGTCGAGAGTTCACGTTAATCAGTTTGTCAATTCTTCTAAACGTATAAAATTCGAAAAATAAAGCTCTATAAAACGACGCATAAAACACACATGAGATTCGTTAATAAATGTCGATTATCGTACACAGAAAATCAACAAAAATTATAAAATGTTCGTAATATAGTTTGAATAGAGAGAAATTCATGTAAACACAGATATTTTAAAGTGTATTTTATATATGTTATATATATATATACACACATATATAATTGGAAATAAAAAAATTTTTTACATATTTTTTCATTTCAAATTATACTTTAAAATATAGGTGGAAATGGAAAATTCTGTACCGTCACATAATTTCGATCTAATTCCATCAAATTTCCATCTCTTCGGTCAGCATTTTTTATTAGAAAAAAGATTTAAGGATAAAGACATCAAAGATCACAGTTCTACAGTATTTCACAGATCTTGGACAAGAAACCTATTACAAAGGAATGTTTAAACATGTAAAACGTTGGGATAATTGTCTCAATGTTTACAATGGAAAAATGTATTTATTTCTTTTTATTGTCATTTTTTTCTTGATTTTTTAAATAATTTTTATTTAATTTTAATTTGTATCTTAATTATCCAACAATCAAAAAAATATTGCGATTTAAAATGTCATTAATATATCAAACACAAATTATATCAATTTTACATATACATATTATACATTTATACGTAAAAAGATCTATAATGGTATAACACAGCAAATTGTTATGCTCTTCTCTCTTTCTAATAATAATAATTTGCAGATTATAATTTTAGCTTGGATTACACATCAGTATCGCAATAAAAAAACGTTGATTAAATTTTATAGCAATTTGTACCTAATTTAGATGAGAAAAAATGTTAT